TTTTGTTTTTGTTTTAATTCAATGAAATAAATAAATAAAATAAATAAATAATAAAACAATTAAGTACTAAAAACCAAAACAAAGTTGTGTACATTTTCAGTGATCTAGTAAATGTGTGCGTTGGTTCCAACATTGTCACATGACATCTGTACACCCAACATGTCGGGCAGCTGCACAATACAACCACATGGCTCAGGTGTCTGATGTTTCTCTGTCCTTTACGCACTGTTTTACTGCCAGACACTCCAGCAACTGCCTGATAACACCGAGGCCCAGCTCKCTGGTGTTTATTCTACAGCAGGGCCATCATCCTGCCTGTTTTATAGGTTCCTCTGCTCCAATACTACACCTGATTTGAATCAATGAGTGATTAACGGGCTTCTGCAGAACTTGAAGAGGCAGTTCAATTACTGAATCAGGTGTGCTGGATCAGGGAAAATGCAGAAGAGTGKCTCTCAAGGACCAGGACCAGGACTGGACACCCCTGTTCTACACTCCTCACACATCAGATCATTTCCATACCCATCACTGGTCTGCWTGTGGACCAAAGATATGAGACTAGCCCAGCTCTTTCTGTATTACAGGACAAAGACGTAGGGCTACCTGAGAGCTGACGTCTTCTCGACGCAGCAGGCGGATGGCGAGGCGAAGGAGCCCCACCACGGCCCGCTCCACCAGGAAGCAGCTTTCGTTGGCATGAACGCAGAGGTGGTAGAGGTGGTCCCGCACCGTCTGCCAAACGCAGGACACTCGGTCCCTGGAAACAAGCAGATCGTCGTCACGCCCACACCGGCAGACAAATATAAAGGGCGCGTTTTAAAAACCGTACGTTACTGCTGCAGATTCTCACCTGTTCTCCAGAACGATACGCAGCAACATCTCCAGACAGAAGGCAGCATCCTCTTCATCATAGGTCTCTTCATCCGGTGTGACCGATATCAGCGCCTAATGAATAAAACCAAGAGAAGCTAATTATCCTCTTTTTTTTTTTAAAGAAAGTTTTAAACCATTTCTCAAGACTTGTATGCAAAGAAAAATCTCAAACCTTCATCAGCTCCTGTAGAGACTCAAGCTGGAGGAATTTGCTCTCTGTGATCAACTTCTCTGGGTCACATTGCTAAAGACAGAAACAGGAAACAGATGCGAAGAAGGTTAGCACAAAGTAAACTGCGTCCTTCAAAGGACCCAGCCTACCTGTGGACCGGGTCCTTTRTCGACCAGAAGTTGAGTGGCTGTCAATTTTGACGATTCAGCTTTATTCCCACTCTTACCCCAGCATAATTAGTAAAATGTTAATATATTAATATTAGTAATAGTAGAATATAAAATTAGCTTAGAGACAATAGTAGAAGAAATGCAGTACGAGCAGGTTTACAATGACTTCTGACAAGAATAATAATTAAAAATGTGTCCTTGCTAATGATAAAAGTCTAACACCACAACCGCTTTCAACTTTGCATTTTTGTACCACCAGATTTTTTATTAAAACTGTACGCCTGTTTCTTGTTCATCAGCTATTACAAGCAAAAAAAMATCTCCAGTYGGCCTGCAATGCATGTAGGGAGGGCTTGCCTCAAACTGGGGCAAAGGAGGATGCATTTGTGGGTTGCAGTTTGAGGGGTTTTCAAATTTAGACAGCCTACGGCGCATCACTGTGACGTATTTGGCATTTGAAGACGGCAGCCTTGGAATGGTAAAAGCTGAAAGTCATATTTCATGTGCTACTCGTGTGTGATTTTTGCTTAAAATGTTGAAACTAACTTTTGGAGTCAACACTGTCTGTTAGCAAAATATCTCATGAACCGCAAGATGATTTTTAAATAAACTTTCAGCAAGAAATCATTAAACATACACATATAACTGATTAATTTTAGGAGTGGATTTAATTCAAGATGACTGCTATATATAATTAAGATTAGCCAAGACCAAAATAACTACCTTTGTCCGTTTTACTGATACTGAGCTACAGTTTGATGGAGCAGAAGCTGAGAGATACTCTGAGTCCATCACACCCAAGCCTTTGACCAAAACAGTTACAACTCCATCGTTTTTTCAACATATTAGTTAAAAATAAAAAAATAAAAACATTGTTGACTTTTTGCTGTTTGTGTGTTCAGTACCTTTATGCAGAGGATGGCACCTTGCTTGGCTTCCTGGTTCTCTGTGGACGGCCCCCTGAGACCCGACTGCTCGGCTCCGCTCAGCGTCAGCCAGTTGACAAAACTCAGCACGGCCGACTCCCCGCTGACACGGAGCAGAGGGGAGGAAGGGAACAGTTATTCATTTTTGGTCAGGTCATCCAAACTGCTGTCTTGTCTTCAAGTTTTAAAAAAGAAAAAAGTGTTTCTTGGACCTTTGTTATTGTTAACCCTGATTGAAAACCTTTTAGAAAACTATCCTGGGGACAATAAAAAGCTGGCGATTTACCGATTTGAAGGCGTTTCCTCCCTCTGAAGAGAAATTTTCCCGTTTGGCTCCACAAAATCCTCCACCTGAGAGAACAAACTCTGTTTATATTCTGACCAGTAGGTGGMAGCAGAGTGTGCCAAATCTCACCCCTCTAAATACGTCCCACCAAACAGACTGCAGTGTTTTCACAAAGTACCGCTAGACGATGTCCTGACACTGACAGAATGGAAAGAGGGCTTAGAGTTTAGAAAATGAGTCCTAACCTCCACCATGGCTTTGGGCAGAAGCTGGGCCCTGAACAGCTGCAGCATGGACTCCATGATGTTCTTCCAGCCCTCCCTCAGGATGTTGCCGTGTCGATGGGCGAGGTCAAACATGGTCTTGGCTGCGGTCTGCGCCTTATTGTTGCTGCCAAACACCGTAGGAAGGTTTTCCACCGACTGTAGGAGGAAGAACAGAGTCAGACTAAAAAYTGTTCCTGTTGCAACTATGGCTGTTTGACTGATAAAACCTTTTTTTTCTCTTTTTTTATTCCTGATAGTTTACAAAAAAAAAACGTTAGTTCCAGGAAAGAAATGTTTTTCAGTCTGTATAATCAATTTTTATTAACACATCTAAATGAGCTTGCTTTAAGAAGTTCTGCTTGCTGATAATCAGATAACCAAATTAAAAAATAAATAAAAACCAAACAGGATTTGCTCAGAATGACAGGCTGTTGTTGGTTCTGACCTCGCTGCTCAAAGTGGTGAACTTGCAGAGGGAGATGATCAAGTTGTCAAAAACGTCGCTGAAGCCATAATGAGCTGCGATCATTGCACATTTTCTGCAAGCAGAAAAGACCACAGCGTTTAAAACCTAACGGTTCCCACCACCTGTTCTGTTCTGTTCGGTTCCAGCTCGTCGTTAATCTTCTCAAGTACCTGAAGCCTGTGATGGACTTCTGGATGATGCTTTCGTCGAGGCTTTTGTCGAACACGTAGGAGAGAGCGGCGATGGTGGGACCCCAAGTCATGGTGAACAGGTCGTGGTCGTAGCTGCCGGGCGGTAGGTGGAGGAAAACGCCCTCGGGTGTGGCGCCGCGGTGCAGCAGCACGCTCCAAACATAGTTCTCCTTCACCAACCCCGTCTGCTCGTCGGGCATCACAATCTCCTCGTTCCTGCACAGGCAAGAACATTCAGTCTGTGAAACCAGTTCTCAAATGGTCCAAAGTTTCCATTAGGTGAGATAAGGCTGGTGGTAGTTTGGATGGACTCTTGTGTTTTTACAACACTCAAGTAAAATACCTGGAATTATTGATGAAAATCAAAGTACATTAACAAAGAATCAACTTTAGCWGAATAATTGTTGTATTCAGAGTGTTATTTTTAGTCTAAAGGGTCACTTTTAACTACAGTGGACTATCTAACAATTTAAAGTGAAATTTTAAAGAGATCCATGATTAGTTGTAACATTAGACTTTATTTAATAAACATATATTTTAACTGTAAAATAAAGACTGTAAAAATACTGTAGGCTGTTTAGTTTTKWWAATTTTTAAATTAAAAGTTTAAAAATATATTACAYGGATGGGGCCATTTTATTTACACACAAAGCATTCTGGGTAAATGATGACATGGATTGGTCCTCGGTGTGAGGCTGATAGTGAGCTATATCCACCCTGAAGGTTAATCTTGGACARTATCTGACAAATGGCTCTTTTAACTGAAACCAGAGAGGGTTGACAGAGAGGAGAAGGTAGAAATGACTCATTATAAATATGACAATTAATATGTAAGAAAAATGTGATCAATAATTAGAAGTCGGATAAGTTAGCAGAAAACAAGTTGATTCTCTTCTAATCTTTATTAAATGACTCCATTTAAGTCAGCTCAGTCTTCCAGCCAGGAGCTGTGAGTTTGAGGCCTTGGGCCTCATCAGAATCATGACATAACAAATCTCTCAGCATCTATTCCAGGCTGCACTAAAAGAATCGAGATAAATCACCCTCTTAAAGTCGCATGCACATAAACCCAACTTCCTGGTCACATCCCTGGGGCGGTACCTTTTATGTCAGACATTAGAATGTAAACAAGCTTGTTTATGCAGAAAGAAGGGCCTCATTCTGATAAGACATGCCAACTCCCTCTGTTTAAAGCATGTTTAAACTCAGTTMATTAGTCAGAAAATCTCCTTCAAATATACTATTGTCATAGTTGTGGCCTTTGTCCACATTTTCTCTTTCCTCTTGCTCCGGTTTATGTCAGTGTTTCAGGTGAYTGATAGTGAGTCGCACACAGATATTCATCATCACATGGCACTAATGTGGCAAATATTATTGTTGACAGTTTTACTGACGATTAATTGCACATTACAGTTTTGCCCAACCCTATGTGATATCCACAGAAAAACTGGTTTTTAATCATTTTAACACAGAGGCAAGTTGAGGAAGGAATACAAAACGCAGTTTGAACATCGATCAAATTACTTTATAAATCACTGAAATATGTTTAGCAAAAAYATGACATATATATTGGCTTACCTTTGATAAAAATGTTTATAAGGTAAATGTAATTTTACACCTATATTGAAATAACTGTATTAGGTCACAACAAATATCCAGCTATTATTTATAGTAATAATTATCTTCAATCAAATAACTTATTTGGATGCTAGCTCAAAGCTGGATATGTGACATTCGGTTCTTTCCCCTCCTKTTGAGAAACGTTTGGTCTTTTTTTAGTCCCAATATACAATAATAACAATAATAATAATGGATACTAAAAAGTTTTTTATAGTTTTGAAGTTTACTCAAAATATTGAGAGCCTGCTGCCAAAAAGCAAAAGAAGACAATAGTGTTCTTGTCTGTTAGCAAAATATTTCATTAACCACAGATTTTATTGAAACTTACAGAAAGTAATGACTGGTTAAACATCAACGGATTACATTTTAGTGCTATTTAAGATGGCTGCCAGAGCGCACTGACCTTAAAAACCCAAAAGAATGACTTTAACTCGGTTAATTTTAAAGACAATGAGCTAAATTTTGGCGTGGCACTAGCTGAGACTGAAACCTGATTTATCAATCAATCAATCAATCTTTATTCCAGACACAAAAAAGGTCCATAGTAGAAAAAAAAAGGGTAAAAACAAAATAAAAGAGAGAATAAAAATAAACATGACATATTCACTGAGTTACAAATAAATGATGACGCCAATGTTTCCACAATCTTGAGAAAAATCTCACTGTACTAAAAACAGGATTTACTAAAATTGCAATTACATTATTGCATGACACAGATAACCTAGACATGCATTTATACATGAGGTTCCTGAGCACAGCTGCACATGTGGGGACAGCATTATGTACAAACATGTGGCTAGCACTGCTCCATCTAGGCACTCTGAGTAGTAGCCTCATGCCATCATTGATTTAGTTCAAGGATTAATAGAAATGGCTTGTTTGATGGTAAAAGTCACAGCCCTTTGAGTTAAACCAACAAAACTCATAGTTTTTAGATAATAAAAAGCAGACTGTTTAGTTAGGAGTGTCCTTTAATTTAAATTTAAGCAGTGTTACCTTGGCTCATGTAAACCACCCGGTGTTATGTGATGGCAGCTTACTTGATAGCGTTGTAGATGTCCTCCAGCATGTCCTGGTCAAAGTCTTTGTTTCCGTTCACACCCTTTAGGTTTTTCTTGAATTGCTGTTTGCAGAAACAAACAAACAAACAAAAAAATCAACCGATTAATAATGCCGCATGCACTTTAATGAAGCATCTGGAACTCAGTCATTTGTTACGATTAAAAGTGCTGAAACGCACTTCTTATGTGACACTTAATATGCTTTAGCTGCGTCGTTAAGAAAACGGGGATTAGAGCCGAGAAGCTCCTGTAAATAAACAGAACCACCCGGTGATGACTGATAGCCTCAAGGCTCGGGTTTTGTGCTTCGGCTTGGCAGGGTCGGACCCACTCGCAGGCGTTGGGGGTCGGGGTGGGGGGGTCGGACCTGGGTCTGCAGGGACGCACAGAGAAATAAACACCAGCAGACAGAAGCAGAGCGAGCAGGAGGCTGCCGAGGATCAAGCCTTTTATTTGTAGTGCTCATATCCAGGTGTGTGTGTGTGTGTGTGTGTGTGTGTGTGTGTGTGTGTGTGTGTGTGNAGGACCTTACTCCTCTTTTGTTTTCTGTGTGTGTGTGTGTGTGTGTGTGTGTGTGTGTGTGTGTGTGTGTGTGTGTGTGTGTGTGTGTGTGTGTGGCACTGTCTCAAACAACACATCATCGCTCGTATCGGAGCGGCTCTGGGAGCAGCTGCCGGCATCGCGTTTTATGGACAAAATTAACTTCACGCTACTGCCCCGTACCTTTCCCTCGCTCCAAAACATGTCGTGTCGTTCGCAGGAAACGGGATCTGATTTACACACCGCTACACTGGACATAGCTTCCAAAATAATCCCCCCACCCCCCTCGCTGCCAGCAGATGCTGCGCATTGCAAGCCGCTAAGAGAGCRAAGTGCTAGGCGCCACGCTTGCTGCCGCCTCATCTCCTCCAGTCTATTGTGTTTGTGTGTGTGTGTTGGGGGGCTCTGCTGGTTGTCTGAGCCTGGAGGTCATCGAGCCTCCTGCGTTTCAAACATGCAGCACCAGCTGTATGACGAAGAATCGCTCAGCCCCCCAGAGAAAGACGGACCCTGTAAAGTATGTGYTGTAAAGAGACTGAGATGGGCAGCGAGAAACAAGCAGGCCGCTTTTATTTATCAGTGGGAGCAGCCCACCCACAAACCCTTCACGAGTTCCCCAAGAGACTGTGTTTAGTCTTCAGCTGCTGTCAGTCAAAGAGTGAAAAAAACCCGCAGATAGAGTAAGCCACCCCCCCCGCCACGTTTAAGATGAGTTCACCTCTAAGACGGACCACCACTGGCTACAGCTGTTGGCTGCGGCTTTCTGAGCTGCCAGGCTGCACCAGCGCCAAGGCTGGAAGGCTTGGAGGAATTTCACACCTTCTCACACAAATGGCGGCGTGTCTCAGTGARAGAAGAAACAGATATGAAGACAGAGCTTGTGTCACTTTCTAAACTAACATTTGTTACATGCTATTTTTTTAACCAAGAGAGTTTGATGAAACAACTCAGAACCTACAGTCTTGTCTCATAGGGTCAAGAATTTTATAAAAGAGTGCCAATGTTTAAACACTAAACCACACTTACTAACCATTCGTTCACTTCTATCATAATTTTGGACTTACTTCTCCTCCTGCAGCTCAGGGCAAACGCAAATAAAAACACCTCAAAATGTGCAGCGTAATTAAGAACAGTATGTCGTATGAGACTTCTATCTGGCCCACTAATGAGGCCCCCACACCCTTTTTTAACTTTAAAAAAGCACTCAAAGTGACTTTAAGGTGCTTTTTTTCTTAGTGAATAATTTTAAAAATATATATTTTGGAAGGTAGACGGTCTGTTCACAGGATTTTAAGGCCCATATCTGCTTTGAGACTCTGTCTGCCATTTATTATACAACACGTTGCACAAAGCTAAATATAAGTTTACTGAAGTCACGAGTACGTAACAAACAGTGCATTTTATGCCGTTTCACTTCAGCGCGCTAATAAGCTAGTTAGCAAGTGTTTATTTTTTCTTTGCTTCCAACAATTTAAACTCATTTCTATCAAACAACAGTACAAATGTTATACATGTGAGCATGAAATACTGTATGTTACGTTACTGTACTGTAGGCTAGTTTAATAAACATGCTTAAATATTTTTTAAATGTTTGTTTTATTACATTTAAGTGTGCAGAACTACWGTATGTATCCCTCTGGTAGTGTCGACAAAAAATTGTGTTCCCTTCCATCATCTCAGTGGCCCGTCCGTAACACAGTGTTCAGACCATTTGAGAAAAACTGTAATGTCCACATAAAGTAAGGTAAGATTTTTTTTTTAAACGGAATAAGAAATTCCTGCCTAGAGTGCAGAGAACAACCACACKTCCATAGACCTCCTTTGTATCTAAACTTAAAATTTTCTCTTCAAACCTGAAAGTAAAGAGCCTTTAACTTGCTTCCTACATAAAACACTGATGATCAGACACGTCTGAACTTCTGTAACTGTTCGATTTAGGTGTATTTTGCATTTCTGTCTGCCGGTCTCATGTCACAGACAGCAGCTTTATTGTTAGGTTTATATATCAAAATGCTACCATTGTGCAAGTTTTGATTATTACTAAGTGAGTCCTTTTTTGTAAGAAAACTCCTTAATGTTGGGATTTTAGTCAGTAGTTTTGGCATCCTTCATGTTATTTGAAATTCTCCAGTTTTAAWTGCTGCTCCATCTTTAGCCTTCACCTCTTTAGACCAAAACTGCAACTAAACAGAAATGTGAAATGAGTTTAATTTATGCCGTTCGCAGCGTCTGAATTATTCATCAATGTTTCTCTCGTCAGCTCYACTAACTGTCTGCTGCTTTTTCATGGGAGGGGGGATTTCTGTACTGCAGCAGGTGACATGAACACATCATTGRGATGATTCCAGCCTTGCAGCTTCCCTACAAAATAAAAGTGGAGCTCATTTTCCACTGTCATTGCCACTTTCACCAGTCTAAATATAGGAAGTAAACAATTTCACTGCTTACAGGCTTTATCTTCCAAACAACTAACAGGTTAATTTAGGTCACAATGTGTCAACGTTTTGTAGTCTAATATGGCAAACCCAAATCTTTTCTGTGTAAACGGACACTGTGAACTCAAAGTAAAGCTCAAGCTCTTATTGAGAGTAAATGTACCTCTGTGTGTGTGTTTGTGTTTGTAATGACTTACCTCCACAGTCATGGGGATGTTCTGCTTCCGGACGTTGTGGTTGTGTTGGTCAGTGTTCAGCATTATGACGGCGTAGGCCAAGGCAAAGCCTGCGTCGTTGGTCATGAAGGGCGAGCCATTCACCTTCTGTACACACACAGATTACAGCTTCACGTCACTACAGGAAATGTTTCAAGCTTTGTTTACAATTAAATATTCAGATTTCTCAGAATGAGGACATTTTTAACATCTAGCCCAATCTGATCTCTTTATTTTACTTTGTAAAACTCTAAATCAGCTATTCAGCCATTGAGTTTAAATAGTGTCTTGTTGTCTCTTAAAGTGAGGGATTCAAATTCAAAGTTGATGTTTTTTTTTTCTTTTTTATTGTGACTTGTTGTAAAATCAATTGCCTATTGGGACATGAATAAAGATCTGAATCTGAATCAAATGGCAGTCCGCGGGCCACAAATATACACACACACACACACACACACACACATACATATATATACACACACACATTTTTTTTTTTGTTATTAATAGCTCATTGGCTTGGAGGGAGCACCACAAATATCAGGATACTTCACGTATACTGAAGTTTAAAAATGTTTTTTTTTTTTTCACTTCATTTAATATAAAAATTAGAGGTGTCCCGATACCGATACCAGTATCGGAATCGGATCCGATACCAGCATCAAGTACTCGTACTC